GACCCCCAGCGGTGGCAATGAGAGCTGATAATTATAATGCGCATGCGATCGCGTGGCCACTAGGAACTATAAGTGCTGCGTGATCTGTGCATCTACCACGTTATTCTACGGTTACCTATGATAAAGGGTTCGCGAGAGAGTCCCAAACGTCAGGCAGATAAACTTCTTGTTCCAGCGATCGTATTTTCCACTTCTGAACTGCTTCCTGGAACTCGAATATTCGCTTCTATTAGTTTACTGAATACTATGCGGTTATCCCGCTTAGACTTATGTGCTTCCGCCCAGACATTCATCTCAGCTTTCGGTCTGCGTCCAGTTCAGACTAATTTACTCCAAGTTTACGATTAATGTCGGAGAAAATCAAAGAGCAACCGAGACTTCGGAGTGCAACATCTTCCACATGCCAAGTAGAGATGACGTTAATCAGACTGATCTGATTGCAGGACTGAATACGGATCTCCCTGGTTGCCAAACCTGTTTCTGTCGTCCTGCACTGAATACTTCATGATTATTAGTTTATCTCCACCACTGGACTCACTGTGATGGCCCTATGCAGAAACTGCAGGATCAAACGGAAGAACCCTATTCTATTCTACAATTAAACCACGTCAATGTGTGACATTCCTATTGGATCATGGGCGTCAGACAACGTGACCCGTGACTTAACTGCAAGGGATTTTCATGTAAATAACCTATTTAAAATGAGTTCGACTCCTCGCAGAGGATGTCAGTAAAAGACCACTCCTGTAAGGTTGCCGCTTTGCGAAGATAATCACTTAAGTGGCTTGCAGGATTTTCCAAGCCAATCAAGAAGACAGGTTTAGTCCTAGTAGGTTAGCTGCAACGGCGGTCATGTGTGGACAGTCGACAAAATGAGGCTGCGAATATAGGGCCCTGGAGGGTGCGGACCCAAAAGAAACAGAGCTAACAACAAGCCAGCCAGTCCGCGGTAAGAGTCTAGACACGTCTCGATGCGGAGCACGTGCCTACATCGCGCGTAGGAACCTACAGTCACATGTTCTACAGCAATTCGTATGTGCCATTACACTTGAGTGTTCCAGTAAGTGGTACGGACTGCCGTGAAAAAAAAAGGGTTGTTAGAAGTTTGTTATTGTCAAGCATACAAGGCACAAAAGTCCGTCCAATTCGGCAAGTGCCAAAGTAGTATATTTGCAAAAACATGAAAGACGAGACACAAAGAGGAGTGTAAATGCAGGTAGATTCTGGGCCATAAAAGGCAGCTGAGCTATAGAGGAACAGCCGGTCAGGTGTAGAGTCAGGTACGCTGAATAAGGATGAGATGAGGAACCAGACGGTCTGTGTCGGTGTTGAGATACTGCATTACGGGAGCAATGGTGGGAAAGGCCTCTAGGGGTTCAAGGCGGAGGCAGCTGAGATGCAAATCTGTTGAATGCTGAGCTACAAGGTCGTGGAAAGCGAGGAGACTTCCGCTGCGCGGAGGTGCAACGAAGAGACATACGGCACCGGGCGTGCGAGAGAGAAGACGGTCCAGCGTGCACAGGAGGCCGCGGTGCGTCTCGCGATGAAATAAGCAATCAGCACCGAAGAGGAGGTCGAAGGAGTGCTGCCAGCCAGCGGGTATGTAGTCATCCGTCATCGGGCTAAATGAGATACAAAAGAAGGACAACTAGATAACACTCACAAGATTTAACAAAACTACAAAGCCTATACAGTAGTCGCCGGTTATTAAGCCC